ACATTTAGATCTATGTGAAATGAATGGTGTTTCGACAAAAGGTGGAAAAAATATTTCATGACATTAATTGACGACTCCACTAGATACTGCCGTGTGTATCTTCTGAAATCTAAGGATGAGGCTTTGAACTTTTTCAAGATCTATAAAGCTGAAGTGGAAAACCAACTTGATAAAAAAATCAAGAGGCTTAGGTCCGACCGTGGTGGAGAGTATTTTTCCAATGAATTTGATGCTTTTTGCGCGGAACATGGTATAATCCATGAGAGGATGCCTCCCTATTCACCTCAATCAAATGGGGTAGCCGAAAGAAAGAACCGTACTCTAACTGATTTGGTTAACGCCATGTTAGACACATCGGGTCTCTCCAAGGCATGGTGGGGGAGGCGATATTGACGGCATGTCATGTCCTAAACCGAGTTCCCACAAGAACAAAGAGATAACTCCATTCGAGGAATGGGAGAAAAAAAGGTTAAAACTCTCTTATCTACGAACATGGGGTTGTTTGGCGAAAGTCAATGTTCCAATTCCAAAGAAGCGGAAGCTTGGACCAAAGACTGTGGATTGTGTTTTTCTGGGATATGCTTTTCATAGCATTGGCTATAGATTCTTGGTTGTAAAATCTGAGGTATCTGACATGCATGTCGGTACGATCATGGAGTCGAATGATGCGACTTTCTTTGAAGATATTTTTCCATGAAGGATATGGCTACCTCATCTAATCAGGAGATGCCTAGTTCATCGAATCAGGAACCAGTTACAATTACCGAACCTACAATTTCGATGGAACACTTTGAAAGTCCTGTGGAGGAGAACAATGAAGTTCCTATTAGGAGCAAGAGACGGAGGACTGCAAAGTCCTTTGGTGATGATTTTCTTATGTATCTCATAGATGACACTCCCAGTTCTATTTCAGAGGCCTATGCATCTGAAGATGCTAACTACTGTAAGGAAGCGGTTCGTAGTGAGATGGATTCCATCTTGGTGAATGAAACTTGGGAGATAACTGATCGTCCTTATGGGTGCAAACCTATAGGATGCAAATGAGTATTCAAGAAGAAGCTTAGGCCTGATGGTACTATAGAAAAGTACAAGACTCGGCTCGTGGCTAAGGGTTATATCCAAAAGGAAGGTGAAGACTTCTTTGATACTTACTCACCTGTGGCTCGACTGACCACTATTCGAGTTCTACTTTCACTAGCTGCCTCACATGGTATTCTCGTTCATCAAATGGATGTTAAGACTGCTTTCCTAAATGGAGAGTTGGACGAGGAAATTTATATGGAACAACCAGATGGGTTTGTAATAGATGGTCGGGAAGGGAAAGTATGCAAGTTGCTGAAGTCTTTGTACGGACTTAAACAAGCACCCAGACAGTGGCATGAGAAGTTTGAAAGAACTTTAACAGCTGCAGGCTTTGTTGTAAACGAAGCTGACAAATGTGTGTACTATCACCATGGTGGGGCGAGGGAGTTATCCTTTGCTTGTATGTTGATGACATACTGATTTTCGGAACAAATCTGAATGTTATTAAGGAGGTCAAAAATTTCCTATCTCATTGTTTTGAGATGAAGGATTTAGGAGTGGCTGATGTCATTCTGAACATCAAGTTGTTGAGAGACGATGATGGTGGGATTACATTGCTTCAATCTCACTATGTGGAAAAGATCTTGAGTCGCTTTGGCTACATTGACTGCAAGCCCTCTCGAACACCTTATGATGCAAGTGTGTTACTTCGAAAGAATCAAAGAATTGCTAGAGACCAATTGAAGTATTCTCAGATTATTGGCTCGCTTATGTACTTAGACAGTGCTACAAGACCTGACATCTCTTTTTTTGTTAGCAAACTGAGTCGATCTGTCTCAAAACCAGAAGATGTGCATTGGAAAGCTCTAGAAAGAGTTTTACGTTATTTGAAAGGCACTGCAAATTATGGAATTCACTACAACGGACATCCAAAGGTGCTTGAAGGGTATAGTGACTCAAACTGGATCTCAGATGTTGATAAGATAAAGGCCACGGGCGGTTATGTATTCACTCATGGAGGTGGCATTGTTTCTTGGAAGTCTTGCAAGCAGACCATCTTAACGAGGTCAACAATGGAAGCAGAACTCACAACACTAGATACAGCTATGGTTGAAGCAGATTGGCTTCACCGGCTCTTGAATGACTTGCCGGTTGTTGAGAAACCTGTACCGGGTGTCCTTATGAACTGCGACAATCAAACTGTGATCACAAAAGTGGGCAGCTCAAAGGATAACATAAAGTCATCAAAACATGTTCAGAAAAGGTTAAAATCTGTCAGGAAAATGAAAAACTCCGGAGTTATTGCGTTGGATTATATCCAAACGTCTAAAAATCTGGCAGATCCTTTTACCAAGGGTCTATCACGTAATGTGATAAATAATGCATCGAGGGAGATGGGTATGAGACCCACAATATGAGTTGTTCACAGTGATAACCTATTCTGTGTGATCGGAGATCCCGTGAATTAGATGTGGAAGACAAGCTGTTAGTCAACTGAGAGGAGAGTATCCTTACTATTCACAATACCACTCCATGAAGATGCAGTACTCTCCTAATCTGCATGACAGGTTGATGTATATCTTAATGTGTTCTAAGTGGCTTATTTAAGCAGAGATGTTATCCTGCAGAACATCTTTTGAAGAACACACCTATATGAGTCTGATTGTCAAATGTCGCAATCTATGAGAGTAGGGTTCTCTTTAGTAAACTCATGAAAGGTCACGGAGTATGACACATAAGCTCCACCCGCGAAGAAGATGCACGGTAGTCACGTATCGGTCAAGGCTTTATGTGAAGCTGGATTCGCAGAAAACTTGCAGTTTAAGGCCCAGTCCACTGTTCAAGTTGCTTAGTAGTGTAGCATAGAGTTTTAGGTGGAAGTTTAACTTAACAGTCTCCACTGCAGTACCGGTATATAAAAACAGTGTTTTGGAACCAAAGGCAAATTTCTGTGTGCCTCTGGGATCTGGATCTGGTGGGGGATTGCTAGAATTTAGTCTATTTTAGGCATCCCAATAACTATTTCAGAAATTCCTAATAAATCCTAGAGGCCCACTTAGCTCGTTTGTGCAAGGCAAGAGATACTACTAAAGTTTAGTCCCACATTGGTAGTTTAGTAGGAATTGGACCTCCTTATAAGGAAGGTTCTTTCCCCACTTGTATGAGCATGAGAACAAGAGGGATATTCACGCGCGCTCCTCCTCCGTCGCCTGCCTCGCCACGCCACGCCTCGCCGCGCCGCGGGTTGCGGGAATGAGCCGAGCCAATATCTAAATTTTTGCCACGCACTACGGGTATACGAAAGGTCACACGGAAGCTGAAAAGATTTTTGCGAAAGTGGAGTTCGAATGTGAATGGTGCAGCCCTTCGGCAGCTGGCTGTTCGCTTCGTCTCTGTCTCTTCGTTTCGTTGCCCTCTCGCCTCCTCTTGCGCCTATAAAAGGGAGGTCGCTCCTCCCAGAGAGACGCATCAGAACCTCTTCCTTCTCTCACCACAAGTTTCTGAGCACTGCGCTGCTGCTACGATCTTCCACATCCCGTCTTGCGGCGCATCCCGTCTTGCGGCGTGCACCGCAGGTCGGGACAGTAGGCCTCCGAAACCGCACCTTTTGAGTCCTGTACGAGAGAAGGGTGATAAAGTTTTTGGGGAGCGCTCAGCGCGACTACTGGCTGCTTCATCACGGACGATCCGGTCGCCGATGACTACTTCCCCGACGTCTACGATTTTCTCGACGACATGGCAGACGAGGACACCGAACCAAGTCCAGCACTTCCACTGCTGCTGTCTCGTACGTGTTCTTACTCTTTCTGTTAGATGTCATGACATAGTTCTTTGCTTTACTTTCCGTCCTACATGTGTTAGGTTCTACTTCATATATGCAACTTCATCTAGTGTCTGTTCTAGATGTGTTTAGTTCAAGTTCATATATGCAGATACTTTTTACCTTCTCTCTGTCTGAATGCATGATTTGTTTTATCTCTACTATATTAGTCATGCTTTATCTAGTATTTCTGTTAATAAAATCATTCGGTAAATTGTTCATATTTCCAACAGGAAGACCATACGCAAAAGGCACTGTGGCTCAAGTCGCTGTTCCGGAGCACTTGGGTCTTTTCGACAGTCTATTGCCGTGGCATCAGCAATGGTACAAGCAAACAGTGGCCTAGACGTTAACGCAACCCCGAAACGAAAGCACACGGACGAATGAAGCTGGCCAAATCCAAACCTACCCACCCACCACTGCATCCGAACAAAGTAGACGCACCGTGGCACCCCCGGAGTCCCGACAGCAACGCGACCCAGTAGAACCGAGCGGGAGAGAGGTACGTACTAGATGAAAGGGAGGAACGGGGCCGGGTAGCGGCGCAGTGTGAACGAGAATCCCCGGTGTGGTGCGCGCTTCGGAAAAGAATATCAAATCCACTGAGGATGACGAGCTAGCCTTTCCTTTTCATTCCAGACTTTCTTCCCGCACGACCATGAAAACGCCGAGCGAGCTCCACTAGCTTCGTGTAACTTCTGCTGCAATCTTCTAGCACTCGCTTTGGCTTTGCCTTTGCCTCGTGGGTCGATGGATCTACGTCCAACTTGGAGTACTTAATCCGGCAAAGCCTCGGAGCATTATTCCAGCACGCCAGGCCAAAAGGCGCTGGCCCCTTTCTGTTTCGGGCAACTTGCGCATGCAGGCCGCGGGGCCCCGACAACATGTCAGGTACTACTACAACTAGCAATAGAAAATGAGCAAAGCAGACCAACCCCCAACGCCCACGCCCATGGGGGCATGGAGCACCACCGCTACCGCTACCACTACGCCTACGGTCTACCCCACGGCGTTCGACGTTCTCCAGCGGAAACTTCTTGTTCTAGAACCTTCATCTTCTTTCGCTCACTGCTGGCTGGGGCTGTCAGGCTGCGGCCCCGCGTTGTTCTCCGAGCGGCAGCAGATATTTCTCGCTCTAGAACCTTCCGTTGTTCCTTCACTGGTAGCTGCGGGGCCGGTTGGGGCTGAGGTGGTAGAGGCTCTGCACCAGCTCGTCCACCTCATCGTCCACGTCGTCGTCCACCTCGGCGCCGCTCGCCTCCCCTCCCCCGCCCCCGCCTGCCTCCCGATGCCTCTCCTCCAGGCCCAGGCTCAGCAGCTCCTTCCAGAAGCTCTCCGTGTCCTCGCCGTCCGCGCGCCTGCCCTCGCCGCCGTCGGCGAGCCCGGGGCCGTAGCCTCGCGCCGGGGCGCCGTAGCTGCTCTCGCCGTTGCGGGGGAGGAGGTACTCGATGGGGCGGCCGCGCTTCTTGGAGAGGAGCGCCTCCGCGAGCTCCTTCCGCCGGCTCTGGTCCTGCCGCTCCACCAGCATCTGCAGGAAGCTGGGGCTCTTCATGGCGCGCGCCAGGAACACCGTCATCTGCTGCTGCTTCTGCTCCGTGGCGGCCAGGCGCGCCTCCATCTCCTGCATCTGCGCGCGCGTCGCCTGCTGCTCCTGCCGCAGCTTCACCACCTCCGCGATCAGGGTGCCCTTGTCGCGCTGCAGCCGCTGCACCTTGCCCTCGGGCCCGAAATGCCCCACCTCCAGGCACGCACCCTGCTGTTGCCCCTGCTGCAGCAGCGCCGGCGTGCCCGCCGGCGACGACTGAGGCCGGCGCCGCCTGATCGTCTTCAGCAGCTCCTTCTGCCCCCGCAGGAACCCCTCCGCCGCGAACTCCCACCTGTCCGGATCAACCTTCCTGAACCCCTGCGATGCAACACAAACGACCCAATCGGGTTGAGTTTTTCTGGAACAAAACCAATCAGGTTCGGTTCGAATTACATTGCATCACATTTTGCCAAGCAATCGCCATGGATAGATGGATGGATGGATACTGGTACAGCAAGAACAATGCGTACACCAATCGGCAGAAACTTACATAGGTGTTGAGCTGGCGGACGAAGCTGGAGAAGTTGCTGTGCTTGAAGTAGCGGGGGAGGAGCACCATGGAGAAGGCGTGGGCGTCCCACACCACGAAGGTGTTCCCGGCGACGCCCCATGACACGATGGTGTCCGTGCTGTGGTCGTCCACCACCTCGTACGTCTTGTTCAGGAACGGGGTAGGGCAGGCCTCGCCGAGGCCGTCCATCGGCCGCGGCAGCTCCGCCAAGGCGCCGTCGCCGGCCCACGAAGATGGGGAAGAGCCCCAGGAAGACGGGGATGAGCCCCACGAAGACGGCGAGTATCCATCAGCAGCACCTCCGGCGAAGTCAAATTCCTCCTCTTTCACAATGCCGTGAAAGGGGTCCATGATCAAACGACCAAACAAACTCTAGAGAAAAATTGGACAGAGGGGATTACTGAGCACCGGTGATCGATCGGACCAAGGAAAACGAGGTCCAGAAAGAATCAAGAACCGGCCAAATTAACAGAAGGCGATCTTCGCTAGAGAAAATGTCGCCCTCCTCCAGACTCCAAAGAACCAAACCCGAAAGTTTCTGAATCAAAATACCAAAAACAAAATTCAGAACCGCAAGATTAGCAATCAATCAGGGGCTACCCGAAGGTGGTTGCAAAATGAAGGGGAAAAGAATCTGCAGTAGTCAAAGTTTGAGCAATCGTCCGAACTAACAATGCTGTGGTTGACCAATTCAGGGGATCTCCGCTCCTCCTAAAATGGCAGAGCTCCCCATTGACGCCCGGAAGCAGCTGCAAGAGGAGGGTCGGAGGAGGGCAAATGTAAAATCGGAGAGTACAAGAAGAGAGAAGGAACAAGGACGGAGAGAGAAGAAGCAGACCAGACCAGACCGGGGACGGAGAAGAAGGGAGAGGAAAGTACAGTACTATCCCTTCACGCTTCGTACTTGAGGCGCTTGAGCGAGCTCGTCAGAAGAGGCGCACGGTCACCGCCCATTTATACAGCCCACGTACCAACCCGCCGGGGCTTCCAATTCCGAAAGATCGAGACGGTTCTGGAAGGATTGGAACCATCCCCGGGGCTGGCTTATCCTGTGTGACGTGGCCGGGGAGAGTTCTGGAAGGCCCGGAGCGGGGCGATGGTTCTGGAAGGCTCGAACAAGTAGCCGCTTATCTTATTGCAGGCTGCCGGCGTCGCTTTGCGCCAGCCGGGCGGGACCGGGCGGCCATTGACCGCCGCCTCCGCGCGGAAAGCGCGCCAAGTTGGCTGGCCGCGTGGCGCGCCCTCGTGACGCGATGCGCCTACAGTGGCCGTGGTCGACCGGGATATTTCCCCCCGGGGAGGTCGGCGGCCTCGCTGTCGACGCCCGGGGTACGCACGCGCTTTCTTTTTTGCCTGCGAGCTCAGTTGTTTATGCGGCGCCGTGAGCTTTTGCAGCGGGGAAAGCTTACGCGGCGTGCCTTGTCTGTTGCGGTTGCACGGGAGAGCACGAGGAGGGATGGGGATTTTTCTATCGAGGGGGGCTCTGGGCCAGCTCCCAGCCGTCGTCGTCGGCCCAGAACTTCCTAAGAGAGAGAGAGAGCCGCGCCATTCAGCCCGTGGAGTGGATCCGGGCTGTACGGCCTTTTCGTTTACCTGCGGACGCCCCACGAACAAGAGCGAGCGAGCTCGGGCGCGCTTGGCGCAAGACCGCAGCAGGCAGAGAGGCCACGAACTGGGCGGGCTCGCATGGCCTTCTAGCGCGCGCGCGCGCAAGCCGGGCAGCGTTACGCTTCCTCTCGGGCTCGTCGTGCGCGCGGCGCGGCTGCCGTCTCCGCCGCGGCGCTCCGGCCACCGGCGCCCGTGCGGGCCGAGGCGACCCGCTGGCCATGCCGTGGCCGCGTCTGGACGTGCGCCGCCGCCGTGTGGGCGGGCAGCTGTCCAGCGTGCGCCCCGGTGCGCAATGCTCACCATTCGGCCGGCACAACACGGCGACCGGCCTTCAACTCTCCGCTCTCACTCGTGGTTGGGGACGGTGGGGAAAATGAACACACGGCTAGCTCACCCAGAAGCTCGACCTCGCCGCTCCCCATTTCGCTTCTCGTCGCCATATATAGATAGAGAGACAGCCGCTTAAACGGTGCGGTGGGCGCCGCGCGCTGGCCATTGGACACCTGTGTGGTGCAAATCGCTTGCAGCGGAGATATTTCCGCCGGAGTGGAAAAGGAAACCGAGCATTTCTCTAGACTTTTCTTTATCGAGAAGGCCCAAACGGAGGCCCATGACTTCAGGAGGAACCGGCTCGTGAGTTAAAAAAAAACAATGTTAAAATCTGACGTGAGATTAAAATCAAACTTTTTATTATGGCAAATTATATTATCATCACAGCATGACAATTGTCATGGCGCAACAATATACTCCCTCCGTTTCTAAATACTAGATGATACCCCGCACGTTGTTGCGGAAATGTTTTGCAATATATCCAGTTAGAATTGGTTGTATGCAACATGAATATTTGAAGAATATATGATATGAGAAGCTGAAAATAAATATGATTTGTGGTGTTTGATTATTGTATAATGTAAATATCATAATATAATGTAAATTTTCATGCATGTTTGCATGTTGAGGTGGTTTTTTATTATGCATGATTGCATGTTGTGGTGGACCTTCCTTCATGCATGTTAAATGATGAGGTGGCATACTTGCATGTTGAGAGAAATAGACTAGTGGGGGCTAGCTATTTAGATATAGAAGATTTGTCTTTTTAGAAATTTCAACAAGTGACTACATACGGAGCAAAATGAGTGAATCTACACTCTAAAATATGTCTATACACATTCGTATGTGGTAACCATTTGATATCTTTAAAAAAACAAATATTTAAAAACGGAGGGAGTAATTATTTAAAAGTTTGACATCAGATTTAAGCAAAATCCTAACACCTTATATGAGTTAAATGCCCAATTGATACACTAAGGGTATCTCTAACATATCAAACTCGATGTTAGAGATACCCTTAAGTTTGCTCTTTTTGCCCTAAAACTTGAGGAGTAAAAGTTTTACACAGATCAAACACGGCCGATCCCCTAAACCCAATACTTTAGTAAATCTAAATTTTTGACCCCTAAAACATGCCCTCACTCAAACTTGTCCTCACTTTCTCTCACTCAAATTTAGTCCAGTTGTAGGCGTTTGGACTAAAAATATGGAGTTGCATGCCTCCAGACCGACCACGCCACCACCGCTAAAACTAGTGTCGTCAGCCGTCCGCCGCCCCGGTGACCTGGAAAATGAAACCCCAATCAGCTCCTGCACCTCCGGCGACCCTTATCAGCGTTGGAATCCGGACAACGACGACAAATTCAACGAAGAGCATCTCGCCGGGGGCCCACGAAGGCAAGGTCGTCATCGTTGTCTCTCCTCCGCTTCACTGTCACCTAGAGCTCCGCCACCTCCTTCCTTAGCTTCTCGTTCTCTCTACTCACCTTCTCTGTCGTTCCCCGTGCAACGTCGGACGCTGGCTTCACCGCCCGCCTCTCCATCGTGACCTTGCCCACGGAGCGAAGGCTTGAGGGCCAGTGAGAAGGAGATGGCACTCGCTGCTTGACGATCATGGTGATGGTCGAAGCATCATGCACGGAGGGGCCTTCGCCAGCGCCGTACCTGAGAACGAGCGAGACAAAGAGCAGAGAGGAGCCTGCAGGATGGTTCCATGTGGAGCATAGGCGGAGGGATGGGAGCGCAAGAACGAACATGGCGAAGGACAATGTGGAGGTCGGCCGTGTGTGCAACGGTGAGCAAGGCGATGGGGAGCTTCGCATGGGGCAACGACCCATGTTGTCCTGGAGCTTCAACGAGGCCTTCATGGTGTCGTGGCCGAGCGCCGCATGGTGTGACACGTCGGTTATTTTGTTTACAAGGCATTCTATGTTGCACGAGGCGCTGTTATTTCGCGGTTGTAGCCCATGACGTGCGTGTGATTGTGTGCATCACTCTCACATCTTCAGCGATCCTCATCAGCACCGTGCTTAGGTGCATGCTCCGGTGTGCCAATACCAACTGCCAACCATGCTTCTCATTCACCTCTCTCGCTCTAAGTGCTCGCTGATCCCTTCTTCCTCGACTCCGGTGACACCATGTGCACCCACATATCTTTGTGGGTAGAAGATTTTTGGGATAGGGGATCTGCTAGTTGCTGAAGAGTGATTTCCATAACAAAAATAGTAAAGTGTGATAGGGAGCACTTTTAAGCACCCCTTAGCGAGGCTCTTTAGGCTCAAATAGACCATTTCCTCATATGTAGGCCTGAATCAGTGCAATTTACATTGTGAGGCGGGGGGTTGTTGGCTGGGATTTTTTGGGCGGTCAAAAGGATGTAGAACATACCTCAGAGCCTGCATTACCTCAAAGAGACTCTACAGGGCCATACTCTAGGGAAATGCCAAAAGTGCACTGGGAATAAACATGCCCTAACTTGTCCTGACACTGACCCTACAAAACTTGTCCCATCACTCACTTTATTTCACCTACTCGAAAATGCCATGTTTACCACACTAAACTTGTCCAACACGCTGCATCTTGTATAAATCCAGTCGAAACTAGGTGAGGAGACGATGTGTGGCCCACTGAGCCAGCTGTTTTTTTACAAAACCCCATGTCCATTGTGTGTGCTCCCTCGTGTGGCTATGCACTTTTTGTTTTTCTAGAAAGGATCCCATAAGGCTAGCCATAGTGGGAGTAACTTAGGTAGTAACTTAACACACCCCAAGACTATTTTGCTTATGTGGCAAGTATTTAATGAGGAAAGAGGTGCTTGTGGTAACATAATATGTTACTGTAACATAGCGCTTCCCGAAGCAAAATGAGTCTATGAGATAATAAATGAAGCAATCTATGATACTACTACTATGTTACTTTGCACTATGGAGGTAGTAACTTACACTAGTGTCATATGCATGACACTAGTCTAAGTTACTCCCCACTATGACCAGCCTAATCTACTGAATTGGTATCCCATATTCATATTTTGTTTCTTGTTCTCTCTCAACACGTGTCCCTAGTCCAGTGATTTGAGGGCAGCAACGCCATTATGATGGCCTGGCCCGATAGTGACGACTTGTGTGGCATTGGCGACATTTACCATAGGGCTCTCCCTCGTTCTTCATTGAGCGAGCTCAGGTGATGACGGCTCATGGACAGAGCATACTTCGATAGTGACTAGGACATACTTCAACAGAATGGTCAAATTTGCCAATTTTTTCATCCACATTTGCCATGCTTTGTCCCATACCTCATTAAACCATATACTAGTAGATCTTAACTACATTCATTATCAGAATAACATGAATTCAATAGGGGATGGGAGGGAGGGGATACAATTTTCATTCGATCTTCACAAACCCTAACTTTTTGATTAGATTCGTCGTTGCTTCCTACTATCACAAGTGAATACCAAAGATTAAGCTACCTTGTCACATCCAACAATAAAATTTGCCATTTCTAACAAAAATTTAGCACTCCAACCACCCCCAAAACCCTATCATCAATCAAAATCCGCAAAAAGAACTTAGAAGAATGAGTACTAACCACAATTCAGAGGCTCTCCGCTGCATGGACCAAGCTCTGCCAGAGTATGGTTTCTTCGTCGCTTCGTTTTGTTTGTTCTGAACTGAGTGAGTGAGAGAGAGAGAGATGTAAAATACTATAAATGATGAGGTCGACATTTTTTAAAGCCACGCCTCCTCGCATCCCATGTGACCCTCACGTGTTGCTTTAGGTATTTTTTTGGAATAAAACAAACTTCTTCCTTCCAGACCGGCCCGTGCTGACTCAACAAATACCCCCATTTATACTAAATTGAGCATAGTTTACCATACCAAATGTAATGTTTTCAAGTAGGTGGATTAAAGTGAGCATCCGCGACAAATTGATGTATCAATGGTGCATTTAACTTGTATCTTGTAAAGTTATGTCCGTTCAATGGAGGTGACTAATAAAAAAATTCGAAAAAGGAGTCAATTTTTTTTGCAATCATAGTTTTATCTCCTTTTATTTTGACCTTGTAGTTTTTTTAGAAATACTAGTGAAGTACTTTCATATCAGTTAATCGTGATGATAGTTCAAACAAAAATGTTAGTCATCACCACCATATAAGTACCATGGAGAAGCCCTCCACCCAACATCACACTCCCTCCATGTGTTGTTGCCTTCTTTCGTGTTGCCATACCAGCGTGTTGCTCACTTCCGTGAGTCAATTATCTTCTCACCACTGTCCGACATGGGCAACCATCCTAACTCTTTAAAGCGTATACTTAGAATCTTTCCTCCAAATTTTGGAAGCTCATCCAAAAGAATCAAAAATTCCTAAACTTCCAAATCTACTGCACTAAATTCAGTCATGGAATCAAGTTGAAAGTACATATATTTGTAATTTGACACCTTCTTTATTTTGTATGGTAGGAGCAAGCTTAGTTGCATGGATATGAAACCTACCTTCCAAAATAGGAAAAGTGAGGAGTGACACCTGGACGCAAATGAGAAATGTAGTCAAAACTAACTATGCAAGATGTCTGTTGATCTATGAAACCTCCATTAGTTCTGATAGGGTGGTGCACGATCTCGAAAGTACCCGAAGGGAAAACACACAAATATTTTACCTAGGTTCAGACCCTCATGGTGGAAGTAATACCCTACTCTTGCTTGATTTGATTGATATATGGGTCGCCTCATGGAGAGAGTTACACTGAAG